TCTCTCAGAATTAAATAAAAAATAATATATTCTTTAATGAATTCGTCACATTATAATGGTCAGGGGATGGTGCTAAACGTAGGATATGAAAAACTTAAACAGCATTATTAAAAAAATAAATACAATAGCCCTAAATACAAAAATACATACGAATGTAGGCCTGTCTGTTTTTAATGATTTAAGCTTAGTTTAATGATTGAATGTCCAATCTAGCGGTGACATTACCTTTAAATGAGCTATCACCGTTGCTTGCTGTTGCCAACACTTAATTTCACTGAGGGAAAAGTCATGAAAAACAGCCGTGGTGGAATGTTCTCTCAGAATTAAATATTTTTAATGAATTCGTCACATAATGATCAGGGGATGGCGCTAAACGCATAGTCTTAAACAGCATTGATATGAAAAAATAAATACAATAGGCCTAAATACAAAAATACATACGAATGTAGGCCTACACTTACTGATTTGTTTATTCTTGTTTATTATATGTCAGTTTTTAATGATTTAAGCTTAGTTTAATGATTGAATGGCCTATGAAACCCAAATGTAGCCTATAGGCTATTGAGTGCATTAAACATAGGCTAGAGCCCTATTCGCACGGGATTAGTATTATCTGGGGACCTTGTGTGATTTTGAAATTATCCCCCCACATCTGAATTTCGTGTGGTGCATTCGCACGGGATAAGCGAAGCCTGTGATTTTACTCGAATTTACTGACTTGTCTCCCGGATACCCGGATGTCAAGGCTTTGAGAGTCCCGTTCTATGGTCCAGATGGATTTAAAAAAAAAAGAAACTAATATAGTTTTGTGCACTGTCATTTACATTTCACCAAGTTAAAATAATATCTCAAGCTTTATGCTTGATTTATTTGTAACACATTAACCTCAAAACCTTTTCAGCTTTCTCTTTCTGCAAATTGTATGAGCGATATGATGACAGCACCCAAAATACTATCAAACTTTAAAAATGTACATGGATTGATACGAAATGTATTAATTGCACCATAGGCTAATTAACGTAGTTTTAGCTATATGGGTAAAGCAAGGAAAAGTACCCTAAACTTTTAGATAAACATGTTAACCGATGGCACTCATGGAGTTAGAAAACAAAGTTATTTTTATGACCAGCAGGGTTACTTGTAATGTAAATAATTTTTTTTTTTTAAAGGCACAAGACAGTTGTTTCTGTCAATGGTAACTTTTAATTTAAAATTGTGATAGCCTACTACCTTAACGTAAGAAAAGTAGACTGTAGGCTGTGTTTACATGTTTTGCCACTTGCTTGAGCATCTTATAAATCAGTACAGAAGTAAAATGCATTTAATAATATTGCGCTTACACGTGAATATGTATGTGTGAAAAGATAATCACTATGTTGAGAGAGAAAAAAAAATTGTAACAACATTCGAATTTTAAATCAAAATAATGGTGGTAAACAGCCGAGGATCATAGCGCACTGAACACACTAAATAAAGCACACTGATCCCGTGCTGCTTCTGCACCGCATAGCCTACGTACCGCACACGGACTGCACTGCAAACGGATCCTCGCTTAATTTCGTTCACTCTTTGCTGATATATAGCACTCAACTGCCATGCACTATATAGGGATTTGAGAATCAGTGAAGACATCAGCGATTTCTGAGTCGACACCGAGAGTCGATTCCAGTGCTGGAGTCGACTCCGACTCAAGGGCTATTCAGAGTCGAGGAATCGATTCTTTTGGAGTCGACTCCCCATCCCTAGTTTGAAAAGTGCCCGTCAAACGCCGGCTCGCTCTGTTTCTCCATCGGTGCCTTCTTTGTCCATTTATTTTTTATTTTTTTGTACTTTTGGTGAAAAATAAATGTAGCTAAGTTGAATACTTTAGTTTTATTCTACTCAAGAAAAAGTAAAAGTACCACAATTTAATTATACTCAAGAAAGTAGAAATAAATGTAAAATTGTTCTCAAGTACTGTAACGAAAGTATTTGTAATTAGTTACTTTCCACCTCTACAAACAGCGCACATTTATCTAGGTTAAACATTTAATCTTATCTAATTAATCTAATCTAATATTGTGATATGCTTGAACTGTTTTATATATAGATTTTATTTTAGGCAAGTCGTGATGATTTGAGAAGGTTAAATTGATCAAACATATTATGCTTATGCGAATACTCGACAAGACAGATATATTTTGAAGTAATTTAGTGATGCATTTTAGGTAGCTTTCCATGCACGCAGGTGAGTCAGTCAGCACGAGATCTTTTTTCGTGGCTTAGCCTATTGCATTTAAAAACTAGCTCTTCCCGCATTATTTTCTCATTCATGCATGTTCTTTTCATAAACCCAAAATGTGCCCAAATATATTGCTTTAAAGACGTTCATTATCTGGTAAGTAAGATTATCTGGAAACATCAGACGCAATTAAGTGCTTTGCTTCCAAAGGCATACGCAACTTTTGTTAATTAATATAGCATTTAACAAGAGTACTTTATTTACAACAGTAAGTTAATATTTATGATAGGCCTATTTAGTAACATTTATGCAGAATCGCTTACATCAGCATCACAATGCGTCATAACATTATTAGGCCTATATTCCACAAGTCTAGTATTTCATATAGGCTAGCCTATTTAATTTTATTTTGGATATAGGCTATGATGATGATGATGATACTACTACTACTACTACTAATAATAATAATAATAAAGAAATTAAGAATATTAGACTACATATTGGCCTGGTATGTGCAGTATGGGTTAATATAATAATTCTTAATTCTGCACTTTCTTAAATTCAAAACAACATATTAATGTATTCATAATATCAATTTCTGAATATCCAAGGTTGCTATGGTCACGCAGGTTTGTGCATTAAACGCATGGCCACGAGAAATAAATGTCGTTCTCTCAACATAAGAAGTCGTGCTCCCCCGAACATGTCCCCTACCTGCCATCTTTTTGATCATTTTGTCATGAAAAGATTTTTAATTTTTTTAAATAACACATTAGGCCTACATAGGAATTATCACAGAAACAAATCCACAGCTAAACCGCAGCAACAAGTAGTGGTGTTTTCATAATCAGCGTAACCTATTTGAAGTAGGCCTACAGAGGAATTATCACTGAACCAAATTAAAAGCTAAACCGCAGCAACAAGTAGTGGTGTTTTCATAATCAGCGTAACCTATTTGAAGGAATCAGTTGAATGGATTGAACTCACTCGTTAAGACAGTGACTTGCCGCCACCTAGAGTCTGTTTTAGTTTCATATTAAACGTATCATTTAAATGATTCCATCATGACATATTTCTGCCTTCAAAATTTAAAACATTAATCTCATAACATTTTATGCATTTGTAGGCTAATTGCAGTGTAAATGCATTCAGTAATGATGGCTTTTGTTGACACTGATTGGATTTCACTAGTAACAGCCCTAGAGCCTTATTATTTTGACTGAATTTATCGATTGGAATTAAGAACGTGGCATTCCACATTCATGATGCATTCATTTAATACGGTTTAAAAAATGCCCCTGGACATCAGTTTACGGGTTTGTTTCTGATGCTGTCAATGTTGTTTTTGAAAGTTACATTGATAAAATGCAGTTAGCTCAAAAAGCTGAGGGCACAGGACAGGCGTTGTTTGGATGAGCATGATGCTTGTATGTTCAATGCATGGCGTGTGTGTTTCACTAGCTCCGTTCCCATGGACACCTTTTGTTTGATCTAATTCTGGATATTTGTTTGATATCTAATTCCAGCCTAAGACATGTGATTAATCCGTGTCTAAAGCCGTGTCTACACCAAGAGAACCCATTATAATCAGTTGATGCGGTGACCACACGGGAAGTGGCGCGAAGCGACAAACCTTCTACAGTAACTGATGCCTCCTTCAATCCCGAATCTTTGAAACATGCATGGTATGCGTTGAAAGTGAAACCTAAAAAAACAGTGCGCATAAGAAAGCGATTACACGCTTTCGCGAGCTTCAGCAAATGCATCACAGATTGCACGCTTCCCAGCCGAAACAACCCCCCACGTGAAACTGAAATAATAACCAGTGATATAAGATTTTGGCCATATTGCCCATCTAAATCATTCATCCCACACTATCAACAGGCGATGTAAGCTACACTTCTTGTACTTCGTTTGGGCACCACAAGGTGTCAGTCAGGCCTCAAAGC